TAAGGATAAGAAGGACTCGAAGACCGCGAAGGACTCCAAAGATAGTAAAGTGGATAAAAATGACACGAAATTGGATTTGGGTTTACTTGAAGAGGACGACGAGTTTGAAGAGTTCCCCGCAGAAGGTGTCACACATGACAGCCATTATACCACTCATTGTCTCTTTTGCTAACCATTTGATTGTCTTATAGTATGGAAAGAGAAGGACGAAACAGAGGAAGAGGTGAACCTCTGGGAAGACAATTGGGACGACGACAACATTGAGGAAGACTTCAGCAAACAATTGAAGTAATGATTGTCTCTTTGCTCTTATGTTTCGTTGTTTTTAATCTTATTTTTGGATTTAATTTTAATCTTTAGATCCGAATTAGAGAAGAAGTCTTTCGCATAACGTGTCAAACAATGGCTTCAATTGTTTTTTTGTGTCTGTTTTTTACTCTAATTTATAACAAATTTGTCTCAAATATAAGCGAAACCAATGCTTTATTTTGCCTTTAAATGGCTTTTATATAAATAAATCTAAAATTATTTGTTTATAACTTGAGATCAATTACTAAAAGCGTTAAATTATCAGTTATTTATGGATTTCTTTATTAAACAGTAGTTATTGCCGATTGTGTGCTGTTATTACACGAAGCGCTTCCATACGTGTGACCAGAAGTGGTTATAACTTACGATATTTATTGATTAATATCATTGGGAATACACAACACCTCTGAGGCCTGCAATTGAGATGCAGACAATTGCTATGTGTTTGAAAGGTTCCGATTGGCAGCAAATAAATGAAAAGTTATGATAGTTTTGATAATAGAGTTGTGTTTTTGGCCCACAATCTGTTCATAAAGGGATTATATTATTGACATTAAGTTACGTTATGTAAAGAAATCGTTTACTTTTGATGGTTATGACCTGTGTTTCTGTATAGATACAGTCTATCCCGGTTATAAGCCAATCGATCGGTGCATTCAATATTATTCTCTTATTACCGGGTTTACCTTATACCCGGGTTTATATTAGTTGACATTTTACCACAAAAAACAATTACTTTTGATACACAATACAGTAATTAACTCAATCATAACAAACACTAATTTATACGACAATACAATGTTAAACAAGGATCACACGCGATGCTATGCGTTAACCACAATTCGGGAAATGCATCAAAGATTTTAAATGTTTCAATACTATTGTTAGAATACTCCCACTATTATTATTTTGAGAATTTTAAATGTTTTTGACAACAATTAGTTCTATTTATTATGGCAGATTCATTTGTAATCCCATTGTCCCATTGATATACCTAGACTTGTGATGATACTCATAGAAATATCATTGGATAGACTCAGCATTGTCCATAGACTCAGCATTGTTCATAGACTCAGCATTGCCATAGACTTAGCATTACC